TGGGAACTGGCCCCTGCTGGGAACTGGCCTGCAACCCAGGCATGTGCCCTGACGGGGAATCGAACCGCGATCTTTTGGTTCGCAGGCTCGTGCTCAATCCACTGAGCTACACCAGCCAGGGCTGGTTGCATTTATTCTAACAAGACATTGACTACCTTGTTCTCTGAAATTTCATTCTAAGTCTATTTAATTACCATTAAAACTGACTCAGAAGCTGAAGTCCAAGTACTAGACACTATGGTCTATAAAAGCTATCATTCATCTACTGGGTCACACTTCGATCTCTGCTGGGATTCATCAGAACCAGCAGGAGCAGACAGACTGGTCTTATTATCTGGATGGACTGAGTTGCAAGAAAGTTTGCCAGCTCTCCAAAATAGATCCAGAGCAAGGAGCTGGGAGCTTCTGCTTTCCCTCAAGGCATTGGGGTGAACCCTTGGCTTCCCTGCAGGGGGCTCTCTGGGAGCCAGTGAGTTATATTCTTTCCAAGACTCTATATTCTTTAATTTCAGAGTGATGTCCCTCCAATTTCCTATCCCCAGAAGAGTACCATGCCTGACTTAGCCAGGGAAAGACAGAATTAAAGAAGGGAAGGAGGGACAGAAGGAAAATAAACTCAATATGACTTCAAGTAGTTCCTCAGGGATTTCTTCCAAATGACATGCTCTCTGAGTTCTGGTCCACATTTGTTTAATTCCCCCAAGATACCACCCTGCCTTAAATTGACTCTAAAAGGAAGACAATGCATTTGTTTAAGCAGAGTTATATCAGAAGACTAAGAGGACTGCAGAATGAGAGAGGGTGTTTCATTGGCTTAAAACTATGTTGAGGCATATGTACCAATTGCCTTTGATAATTCCTGTATTGGTTTTAGGCACACAGCAGAGTGTACAACATTGAGGCATACAACAATCCTGCATTGTTGACATGGAGCAGTTCTCAGCAGCTGATCCAGAGTCTCCACTGGCTCTACCTGAAAGCTGGGCCACATGGCAGTTATTCCAGTGCCCTGAGATATATGGGCTTTTATCAACTTGTCACTCAAATGCTAACTTCTTACACTTAGAACAACCACAGCCTCTCTCCTTCTTGTCTCTTTAAATTCATCAGAAAAATCTTCCCAAATCTCTTCAGTGTCTATTCACCCCTTTTGCATTTTTTCCAGCAGGGGTCAGTATCATCTTATTTACTTATTTTTCTTCCTCAACACTTTCTATGACCTTAAGCCCAGCTTTCATTAATGACTTCAATGATCACCTTTCCCTTAAAGGAGCTCCTAATGGGACAAAGTTGTTTCAGGATTGGGCAGGTCATAATGCTATATTCCTTTAGGACACATGAGAAAGCAAGGGTGAGCAAGGGCTTAGGGGAGCCATGTATAAAATACATATCCTCAGAAAACTAAAAATGAACCTGCCTTTGACCCAGCAACTCCACTGCTGGAATTATACCCTAATAGTCCTGAAATACTAAACCAAAAGAACCTATGCACCCCAACATTCATAGCAGCACAATTTACAATAGCCAAGTGCTAGGAGAAACATAAGTGCCCATCAGTAAATGAGTGGATCAAAAAAACTATGGTACATTTACACAATGGAATAGCGCACAGCACAGAGAAAGAAGGAGCTCCTACTCTTTAAAACAGCATGGGTGAAACTGGACAGCATTATGCTAAGTGAAATAAGCCAGGCAGTGAGGGACCAATACCATATGATCTCACCTTTAAATGGAACGTAATCAACAAAAGAAAAAAGCAAACAAAGCCCTGGCTGGTGTAGCTCAGTGGATTGAGCGTGGGCATGGGAACCAAAGAATGGCCGTTCCATTCCCAGTCAGGGCACATGCCTGCATTGCCGGCCAGTTCCCAGCAGGGGACTCACGAGAGGCAAACATACATTGATATTTTGCTACCTCTCTCCTTCCTTTCCCCTCTAAAGATAAATAAATAAAATCTTTTTTAAAAAAAGAAAGAAAAAAGCAAACAAAATATGACCAGAGACATTGAAATTAAGAACAATCTAACAATAGTCAGAGGGGATGGAGGAGGGTTCACTTGGGGGAACAGTTTTCAGGAATTCGTATAAGGGACATGTGGACAAAATCAAGGGAGAGGGTGGAAGCAAGGGAGGGAGGTGGGATAGACTGGGGTCAGAGGGATTGGTGTAGAGAAAATGCAGACAACAGCAATTGAACAATAACAAAGTAATTAAACAATAATAAAATAAAATATGTAAAGATTGAAGAGGTGATCCCCAGGTAGTTCGGCTATAAGAGTCCAAATGTAAAACCCCAGATCAGCAGGATGTGAGCAAGGGTTTTATTGAATGTCAAGTGCGGGTCCTGGTGAAATAGGGCAAGAGAGCCGTGACGGGGAAAGGGACTCCCGGGATTCATCTTTGAGACTCTGAATCAAAGCCAAAGACTGATGGTGAGACAAAATGAGGAAAAGAGAAGAAAGAGGATAGCACTTGGTTTGGATGCTCTTTTCTCAGCAGCATCTCTGCATCTCAGCCTTCAGAATGGCCCCTGGAACATCACTTCCTTTTCCAACTCCCCTAATATGGACAAAGCCTGCTATTACAGCCTCTCCAAGCTCTGCAGTCCTCACCTTCATGGCTGGTACAACAGTTGTAACTTAATGTTTTGTAAGAGAGTAGAGACTGAATTAAGATAAGTGAAGAAAGTCTCTAGCCTACCTTGGATGTGAGGAGTAACCAAAAAATATGAGTCCTTACCCTGGCTGGTGTGGTTCTGGAATCAGTGCCAGCCTGTGTCCCAAAGGGTCCCTGGTTCCATTACCAGTCAGGACACAGGCCTGGTATGTGGGCCAGGTCCATGGTAGTGGGCACCCAAGAGGCAACCATAAATTGATGTTTCTCTCTGTTTTTCCAACCTCTCACCTCTCCAAAAACAAATGAATAAATTTCTTTTAAATAGAAAGGGAAAAAAAAGATAAACCTTCCAATCTTTTTTTTATTGATTATTCCAGTACATTTGTTCTATTTCCCCCTCCATTCCCCTCCACCCTTCACACCCCTCTTCCACCATCCCCCCCTTTAGTTCATGAACACATGTCTCAAGTTCTTTAGATTCCATATTTCCCCTACTATTCTTACCCTTCCTCCTATCTATTTTCTATCTACAGTCTATGCTACTTATTTTCTGTACCTTCTCCCCCCTTCTCCTTCTCCCACTCCCCTGTTGCGAACCCTCCATGTGGTCTTCATTTCTATGGTTCACTCCTCATCTAGCTGTCCTCTTAATTTGCTTTTGTTTTAGGTGTGGTTGTTAATAACTGTGAGTTTGCTGTCCTTTCACTGTTCATTTTTTTTAATCTTCTTTTTCTTAGGTAAGTCCCTTTAACATTTCATATAATAAGGGCTTGGTGATGAAGAACTCCTCAAATTTGATCTTATCTGAGAAGCACTTTATCTGTCCTTTCATTCTAAATGAAAACTTTGCTGGATAGAGCAATCTTAGTTGTAGGTGTTTGGTTTTCATGACTTGGAATACTTCTTTCCAGCCCCTTCTTGCCTGTAAGGTCTCTTTTGAGAAATCCACTGACAGTCTGATGGGAACTCCTTTGTAGGTGACTGTCCCCTTATCTCTTGCTGCTTCTAGGATTCTCTCTTTCATTTTAATCTTGGCTAATGTAATGATGATGTGTCTTGGTGTGTTCCTTCTTGGTTCCAACTTCTTTGGGACTCTCTGAGCTTCCTGGATTTCCTGGAAGTCTATTTCCTTTGCCAGAATGGGGAAGTTCTCTTTTACTATTTGTTCAAATAAGGTTTCCACTCCTGGCTGTTCTGCTTCCCCTTCTGGTACCCCTATAATTCGGATGTTGGAACATTTAAAGATGTCCTGGAGTTTCCTAAGCCTCTCCTCATTTTTTTTGAATTCTTGTTTGGTCATTTTTTTTCTCTTTCTGGTCCACTCCTTTGATTTTATTCCCAGTTTCCTTTCCATTACTATTGGTTGCCCTGTGCATTTCCCTTCATTTCAGTTAGTTTAGCCTTCATATGTTCCTCTAATTTGTGACTATAATCAACCAGTTCTGTGAGCATCCTGACCACCAGTGTTTTGAACTGTGCATCTGAAAGTTTTGCTATTTCTTTATCGCTTAGATTTATTGGCTCTGGGGCTCTGAGTTTTTCTTGAGCCATGTTTTGATCTGTTTGTGCCTGTTATGTATGAGGAGAGGCGCCTTAGGTGTTCACCAGGGTGGGGCCACCCAGGTCACTGGTTTGTGATGCTGTATGTGGGGGCGGGGCCAGAGAGGGAGCAATGGTGGTCCTCTCTGCTCTCCCAGTCCGCCTCACCACTAGCCCCGGCCTGCTTATTCGAGCACAAATGTGCAAGCCCGTTGCCCTGCACCACCAGGGCCTGCGCGATGGCCTGTGCAATCTGTCTCAACGCTGGCCTGTGGTTTACCTGTGTGCAAATGCGAGACCAACAGCAGATAGCCAGCCGTGTCTCTTCCCTGGGTTCCGCCCGTAGCTAGCCCACACCTGGGATCCGCGCCCTCGGCTGCCTGTGTACTGCCCGGGTGGGGGGGATCTTTTTTGCCCCACCCAGTCCACTGCTGGCTTCGCCCCTCTCATCAGTTTAGCTGAGTGGTTCATTGTTTTCGGACTCCATATTCGATTTTCTGTGTGGTTTGGTTGCGTTTATTGTTGTTAAAACTTTATTGTTTTTAGATTTGGTTGTGCTAGGACGCAAAGTGTTCCCACCTATGCCTCCATTTTGTCGGAAGTCCTCCCTTCCAATCTTTATGGTGACTATATTCAAATTGCATAAAGTACTCTAATCTGAGTTAGGAAAATATAAACAAATGCAGAAAGAAGAGAAATGTTAGAGTCACAATTCTCCAGTGAGACCAGATTCTTTCTGTTTCATCAGTTTGTGAATTGTCCTATAAGCCTATTCACCTGGGAGTATGATGCTTCCAGGAGAGGTTGTTATCATACAAAGAGAGGACAAGAAAGCCACAGGAAGAGAGGAGAGTAAGAGTTTCAGCCTTCATTGACACAGGACAGAGGGTAAGTAAACCAGAGTGCCACCTGCTTGAGCAATAAAGGAGGAAGAAGGTTGCTGGACCTTTGAGGGAAGACAGGAGATGTGTCTGTACCTTCCTCTGAGGCCTAGGAAGTCCTGAGGGCCCATGACATCACTCACTGAATCCTTGCAATGTGCTAGGTCTGTGCCCTGCATCCCCCAACACTCAGAGGTGAAAACACCTCCACCCTGCCTCTTCCTGCCATGGGCTCCCTGCTCCTCTTCTGTGTGGCCTTTTGTCTCCTGGGAACAGGTGAGTTTGGGAAACAGATGGGCAACCCCTGCCTTCTGTCTCCTGGGTCCTGGCTGGTGCTTCTCCCTTGAGACTGTAGCAAGAGGACCCTTCCTAGGCTCTGTCTCCAGTTAGTTCCTGTGTGTTTTTTCCCCAGGGTCTATGGATGCTGATGTTACCCAGTCCCCAAGGAATAAGATCACCAAGACAGGAAACAGTATTATTCTGCAATGTTCTCAGAATATGGATCATTACTACATGTTCTGGTACCGACAAGACCCAGGACTGGGTCTACAGCTGATCTACTACTCTGTCGATGTGAACGACATTAACAAAGGGGACATCCCTGATGGGTACAGTGTCTCCAGAACTGAGAAAGCCAACTTCTCCCTCTCTGTGAAGACTGCCAGCCCCAAACAGACAGCTGTTTACTTCTGTGCCAGCAGTTACTCACACAGCAGTTCTTGGCCACCTGCTCTCTACACAGAAAGACAGGCACATGGGCGAGTCACTTGCTCAGAAGATGCATCAGCCACATGATCACTCTCACTCCACAGGCTAGACTGAACCTCTCTCTGGTGTCCACTGACCTTCTTGATCTGTCCTTTTATTTTTAGACCTTAACATTTTTCAATTACATTTCAGTTTACATTCAGCATTATTTTGTATCAGTTTCAGGTGCTCAGCGCAAAAGTTAGAAAACCATATACTTCACAGTGTGGCCCTCCCAGTATTCCCACTACCCACCTAGGCCCACACGTAGTTATCACCTCATGACTGACTCTCTTCCCTATGCTATGCTTTACCCCCTCATGTCAATTCTCCAACTACTGACCCATTATGGATATGACGTTAGTAACATGGAGAAAGTACTGCCCTTTTGAGTCCACCATCTCCAGAATGAGAAAGGCACGTCTTCCTCTAACACTGTGTAGACCGGCCCTTCTCAGCCATCTGGGTACCTCTGTGCCAACAGCCAACACAGTGCTGCTCAGCACCTACAGCCTGCACAAAAAGCATAGTCACAAAGGAGAGGATGTTCCACCTGCATCGGCCTCCCAGCTACAGAGGCTACTGTGAATATTCCCAGATTCCTCAGCCCCAAGGGGCCATTGTGGTCTGAGCATCACTCTGAGCAGTCTCTCCCAAGCTGGCAGATGCTGGGCCAGCGGTCAGGACTGATTCCTCCCCTGTGTCTACCTACAGTGTCAAATTGGGCTTGCACAATGTTGTTCTTTAATATGAGCATGATATGACCAGACAGTTGCCTATGGCCACCTGCAGGACAGCCTTTGCTAGCCGAGGGGCAGGAATAGGTTCTCATGGCTTTCTCCTCACGCCGCCTGTCTCTGGTTCGTGGTTCCTTCCTCACACACAGCTAGTTACTTCCCAAAGTCCTAAACCCAATCCCTCTTCCCACAGCCTCAGGTCCTCATTCCACTCCTCCTCATTCCATGCTTTCATGGAATGAGGCCTCACTTTCAGCACTCTACCTCTAAAGCACTGGAGTTTTACCTAAATCTCCATGAGACAGAAACTGTGGTTGCAATGCTTCTTCTTATGGGAACACGCCAAATCTTAGAGACATCAGTCCCCACCTGCATGGGACTCAACTTTGAACAGGCAACTTGCAGGCAAGGGACAAAAGTTTAGCCATCAGTTCAGGGGCCCTGCATCTGCTAAGACGGGGTGAGTGTGGGCTCACCTCTGTTTTGAGGCTTCAGAGAGTAAAGCCAGGCAGAGTCTTCCTTGGTTCAATTGGCTCACCATGGTACTAGTTATTATTCAGATATTCACTAGAATATGAATTAGACTTATCTGGTCATGTTTTAGTCTTGCCAAGCTACTTAGTCTCTCTAAAGATAATTTCCTAATCTTTAAAATGAACTCAATAATCCGTGGGTCCCAGAGGTATTATTTAGTCGAGAGAATGTATATGGATTTGGCTAACACCATCCCTAGCACAAAAGTTAGACTCTATAATAAACGACAATGTTAGGAGCAGTGCTACTAGTTAACCACTCTTGAAACTTTAGTGAGTGATTGCTGTGTATTAGGCATTTTTATAACCACCGAACGTATTAACTTATCTAACCCTCACAGCAACTCTATAAGGGCTGTCTTTGTGTTACCACAAACTACAGGCAGTAAAATTGAGACACAAAACAGTTCATTTACCTGCCTAAGATGATAGACAGGCGTTGGTGTCAGAGACCGCATCCATCACAGTCCCAGAGGGATTTTCACCTGATGCTGCATGAGCAGCAGGCTCCTCTGCTGTGTCTTCCTTTGTCTTGTCCGAGTAGGTGAGTCCTGGATGCAGGTGAAGGACCCTGTCACTGGCTTTCCAGGCTCCAACAGCAAACGTTTCTTCAGGACTGTAGCATCCGTGTCCCCGCCCCAGGTGCTATCTTTCTTTAATCATCCTTCCCCACTCCCACCACCCCCATAAGCCTCCAGGATGCTGTAGTCATGCAGTTCCCAAGAAACATAGTTTCAGGGACAAAAAAAGGAATGAAGTCTACTGCGTTCACAGAATATGGATCATTTTGCCATGTACTGGCACCACCAAGACCCACGATACGGGCTACAGCTGATCTACTTACTCGCCTGGTACCGGGACCATTGCAAAAGATGTCCCCAGGGGGTATGGCATCTCTTGAGGAGAAATGAAGTATTTTCCCCTGACCTTAGAATTGGCTGGCACCCATCAGGCCTCTGTGCAGCTCTGTACCAGCAGTGATGCCACAGCAATGCACAGCCGCCTCCTCACTGCACAAAATAGACCCAAACCAAGGAGGAAACGCTGCCCTCAAGGCTGCTGACCCCAGTTTGGAGATGATTTCACACAAGATTGAACAGAAGCCCTGCCTTGACCTTAAACTTCCTTACTTCTCTTTTCCCAGTCTTGTCCCCTCTAAGGTACTGCTCCCATTGCTCCTGATACTTCACTGGACATTGACCCAATGTGCATATTTTCTAAGGCAAATTTCAGTTTTCAGTTACAGCTGTGGGGAAATTTTGATGAAATTTGATCTTGATCAAGAGAAGAAAAAAATAACCCCTCATTTTGAAAAGAGCCCCTGTATCCTTGACTGTGATTGGGCGTTTCCCTGGGCTCTTTGCAGTCTCTTTCCCCATCCCCTCCATTTGAAAGACAGAATGCTCATTCAACACTTCTTATGCTTCAACAAGTTCCCTGACCTCTGCTTCTGCAGCCAGCTGGAGACCCTGCGCTTTTAAAGGGCTCGCGAGATTAGAATAGACCCACCTGGATGACATCCCTCTTGCCAAAAAATATAATCCCAGGAGCGATAGCGCATCATGTTCATAGGTTCTACCTACTCAAAAAAGAGGGGATTGTACCTGGGCTAGGGTCATCGGGGTCATTCTCAGATTTCTGTCGGCCACACCCATGGGGAACAAGGCCAAGGAAAGCTTGGACGCCTGAGAGCTGAGTCCCTCCACACCAGCCATTTATCAATTCAGCCACGTTCTCTGCAGAAACCCAAGGAGTGCCGTGGTCCCGCTCTCATGCGCAATGTTCCATCTCTATGTTCCTTCTCCCCTGCTCACTTCTGCCTCTAAACACCACATAGAAGGGTTCTCTACCTTTGAGAACCTATGGGATTAGATTGGGCCCAACTGGGTAATCCGGGATCCTTTTTCAAACTCTAGGGCAACTGATCAATAACCTTAACTGCATCCACAACCTTCATTTTCTTTTGCAATCTAATCATTCACAGGCTGTGAGGATTAGGACTTCAACACCTTTGGGGGCTGTTATTCTGCCCACAGTAGTACTATTCCACTAGAGGGCGCTAAGATCTCCCTTAATATAAACATTGCATTTCAGATAATGATGAAGGAGAAAGCTTGATAAAAACCAACATCGTGTTACCAATGGAAAGAAACCCCAATATACAAATACCTCTCATCAGGACTTTCAAAGGTCAATCATGTAGTATAGGAAAATATAGGGCAGAGGGACTTCCTTAAGAACCGAAATGGCCTGCGGGCAAGTAAAACAGGATTTGACATGTGGTGAAAATTCTACAGTGGACATCTGGGCTGGGGATCACCCACAGAAAAAAAGATTTCTCTATATTTAAAGGGATAACACCTGTGTTCTTCTACAGGGGTTTCGGAGAAATGGCTCCTCCGTTGGACAAGTCAGCAGAGCAAAGCTGTGTGAAGAGCACACAAAGGAACTGCGTGGGCTGTGAAGACGTGAGGTCACTGAAGAAGGAGAGAGAAGAGGAAAGGGAAGAGAGGGATACCAACCCCCGACCTTGAGGAAGGCAGCCACTAGTGCCCATGGCCGGTCTGCTGATGAGGAAAGAGCCTTGCAGCTACGGTTTTGAACTGATACAGACCAATAAAATAATCCAAGGATTGATTTGCCTGTTTTTACTCGTGAGACTCTTTGTAAAGGTAGTGGCTAAAAGATACATTGGAGGCTCTCCACAAGGATAGAAATGAGAATGCTTCTCTGCAGAGTAGAGGTGAGGACTCCTGTAGTATAAGACACAGATTTGGTGATAGGGTGAGTTTTGTGTTTTCACATTACTAAGTGATACTCAAATATGCCATGCCAATTTTCATTATAAAGTTGCAAAACGCAGAGATATTTGCCAAGTTTGACAAGCGTACGTGGAAAAGAAGACTTTGTCAAATGCTTAGACACAAGCAGGGACAATGCACAGCAGGGACAATGACAGTGACCACAGGCCTCACCAGCCTGCCTTGGCCAGTACTGGTTGCCCGAGTTAAACGCCAGCCCCCTGAGAAAAGGGGAGTGGCTTCTCTCTTGGAAATGAGGGCCAGGTGGAGACATTCCAGAACCCAACTGGAGCCCCCTGAGCTGGCAGACACCTGTGCGACACAGCAATGGGCCCCCAGCTCCTGGGCTGTGTGGTGCTTTGTCTACTGGGAGCAGGTGAGTCTCAGAACTCATGGGCAGCCCTTGGCCGTAGCTTGCAGGTCTTAGCTGGAGCCCTTTCCTAGTGGCAGCAGCACCAGGCACCCTCCTTGGTTGTCTCTAGCTCTGTCTCCTTCCTTCACAGGCCCCCTGGAAGCTGAAGTGACCCAGAATCCAAGACACCTTATCACAGAGACCAAAAAGAAGTTGACAGTGGCTTGTTCGCAGAATATGGACCATGACGCTATGTACTGGTACCGACAAGACCCTGGACTGGGGCTCAAGCTGATCTATTATTCAATTAATGTGGGCCGTATTGAAAGGGGAGATGTCCCTGATGGGTACAAGGTGTCTCGAACAGAGAAGAAAAATTTCCCACTGATCCTGGAGTCGACCAGCATCAGCCAGACCTCTCTGTACCTTCGTGCCAGCAGTATATCCACAGCATGGCAGGGCCAGAGGCTGTCCCCACAAAAAGGGCAGCCACAGAGCAAAGAGGCTCCTCCCTCTGGATGCCCCGCCCACCAGGAGGAAAACCTTCCCCCACCATCTGTGCCCATGGGAGTTCCTCCTCCACTCCCCAGCTTCTGGGCTGACAGTCTGAAGGTCTGCAGCCTGTCCTGCTCTCACTTGCTGTACCAGTGTGTTTGTCAAAGTTCAGGCAGGACAAGAGCTGTGTTTGGTCTAGTGCACAGGTAAGAAATCCTTTCCTAGAAAAGTGATTTTACACACCCTGCCATCTTTTCTCCTTACTGACCTTCACTGATCCCCAAGCTGAACACTCCATTCCAACCCAATCACTCAATACAATTTTGTCCCATATCCTAAGTCCTATTCCTGAGTGTGTTGTTGCTGGGGAAGAGAAGGTTCTGAGCTGTTTGCTAAATCTGGCACCTCCCATTTTCATCTCAGCAATGGGCCCTATTGTCCAATCAAATGCTAAGGCGGAGATGTCCTCACCTTCTGCACCCAAACCATGGTTGCCCCTCTGTATTTCTAAGCATTAAATTCCTTGCAAATTTCACTAATTTTTCTAACCTCACCGATAACATCATGATCCAGCAAATGTCATCTGTCACCTTTCAAGTAAGTAGTCACCCTCCCCTCTAGTTTGCTGCCTGTCCCAACCCACAGACTACTCTCTTGAGCTTAAAACCCATCAGAGTCTTCCATGAACCTAGCTAACATCCCAAGTTCATGTTACTTTACAAGCACCCCAACGATGTCCCATGTTGACTCACTCCTGGGCCATCACCTATAATGTTCATTTTACCTAGAGCACCCTTTCTCACCCTCTCTACCTGGATTCTTAACTAATAATTCTTGTGTTTAACAGTTGGGAAGTTATTTCCCCCAGGAAAATGTCCTTGAACCCCTGACTGGTTTGGTTAGTTCCTCTGTTAGGTTCTGTATGGCAGCTTCAACCTCTATCCTCATGGCAATTACCACCCCCAATTGTTTGTTATTTGAAGTTCACACTAATCATCATTGAAGCTGATGAGAGCAGGGACCACTCAAGAGTGCCTAATGGAAGTATTTGCAGTGTGAAGTAATTCAATGAACCAATCTTCTCTCTATCAGCTCTCCAACACCCCTCCAACTAGTCCAGGATCTAAGTCCCCTGCAAAGTCCCCTCCCATACAGACTGGGGAGAATTCAGGGGTCTTCACATGGGTATATAAATAGGACAAATCATGTACTCTAGTAGAGTTTATTGTTCCTCCACTTGAGCCCCATGTTTATCTATGCCATGTGTCACCCTGACAAGGATGTTATTGCCTCTCTTCAGTACCACTGTACCATGGGATTCTTTTCTTTTCCTGATGGGCCCGAAACTACCTGTCAGTCACTGCTGATGCTTCTGCTCTGTATCGTTTTATTTCCCAAGCACAACAATCCAGCAGGCCCTGCTGTTCTTCCCAGCAGGTTCCACCATTACTCTGGGTGCGGTTTCCTGCAAAGTGGTAGGTGGCTCCATTAATGAAGAATAAGAGGAAGCCTTTTGCTCAAGCTTTGCCTCTTTCTTTTCCTTCTCTCTGTTGGAGGGACAAGACTGCAGTTCTATTTCTTGATCCTCAATGTCTTACAGAGACTTGAGCGCAAAGTCTCACTGAATCACATACATTCCTCACCAATCACTAAAATGGGATTTATAACATGGAACCAGGGAATGCAGAGAACCTCATTCAGGATACAAATTCTGGCAACAAAGCCCCAGCTTGGCTTAGAATCCACTCATCCCTCCAAGAGCTATGGCTGTCTTACTGGGTTGGTCCATCCTGCTGGTCCCCCACCTCCTCCTTTAGTATGAGCTCTCTCCTGGGGGCATCTCCCACTGCTACACACATAGGCTTCCGGGGCTGCCATCCCTTTCTTCCGAAAGACTTTTTCAGACATTTCTAAACAACAAAAATTGCTGCTCTTTAGGTCTAAACTGGGTTTCCACTACACTTTTCATCACATCTCCAATGTAAATAGAATTATACTAATTGAATCAGAGATGTAAGTGGAGGTTATAAGACCAAAGACTGCTCCCTGTGAAATGGGTCCACCACCCAATGACATTGTCTTAGTTCCCAGAAGTCATCGGAAGTGATGACTATCCCACAGGAACCTGGGGGACAATGATGACGTAGAGAGACCTAGGCCCTGTGCCCCTGTTCTATCAGGGTCTAGAGATGGGATAGCCTTACCCTGAGCTTGGCCTGCTTTAGACAACACTTTACTCTGCTTTTTAGCCTCTGTTTCCCAGGACCAGAAGAGTTCTCATTCTGTTCTGTCCCTTGGAGGGATCCAGACTCAGACTTCATGGAGTCTTCTAATGTCTAACTTGTACCTCACTCAACCTCACACATGCTAAAGAAATGTCTACAAGATTTAGTTGATTTTCAGGTTTGAAACCATTTTCATAATTTGTTCTAATATTAATTTGGGTTCTCTCCTTGTCCATGTTCATGGTAGACTACCATTTCTCTATTATTCCCTTAACAATGGTTTTCTTCAGTATTCCATCCTTTTATTACATTATACACTTGTCCCGAACAATTTCACCCAGGTTCATCACTTTAACAAAAGTCAATGTTCTGATAACTCAAACAGTGTATTCTAGCCAGGTATCTGATCGGAGCTCCAGCACAATTTATACAACTGCCTGCATGATAATGTCTCTCAGTATCTCCATCACTGCGTCAAACTTGACTCATCACCATATCCCACAAACTCAGTTCCCTCCCAGTCATGTTGAAAACACATGGACTTCATCCAGCTTCCCATGTCAGTAACCAAGGAGTTTTGGAGGACAAGTCAGGAGCCCAGTGTGACACCAACCCTTAAAGAGAACTGAGTTTTGACTGTGTGTATTTATTTCACCACAATAAAAGAAATACAAAGGTAAACATGACCAAATTGCATGCAAAAAAGAGGAAGACACACAACCACATGGACACAAACACACACACATGTGAAATGTTAAATGTTTCCCTGGCACCATCCAGCAATCCAGGTCCCCCCCCAGGAGAAGCCACAGCGCTCTCCTAGCTTCTTTGTTTAGGATTTCCTACAAGTTCTTTGAACATGAAAAATAGATATGAAGTAGGTTCATGGTTGAATAAATGTAGAAAAGAGTAAAAGGGGATGTCTAAGAATAAAAAATAAAAGTGAAGAACAGGAAACATATTCTAGACCTGGGCTAAGCTGGGAGAACAAAGCATCTCGGTGTTTGGACTAAAATAGAGAAGGAGAAAGGGGAACACAGGGTCACAGAGCAGAGTAGGAGGGTAGAATGGCGGTGCGTCTCTGGAGGAAGAATTAAAGAGAAAAGGGGTGCGGATGTTACAGTCACTTCCCTTCCACCTCAGAGTCCTCAATGACAGATTGGCTTCTGCCAGCAAACTGCAGGGGACAGAGCACAATTAATGTAGGCTCTGGTGAGGGGATGGTCTTGCATGGCCCCCACAAAGGAGAATTATGGAAGATGGAAATCATTAAAGTAAGACAGTCACATGTATGGAATGAATATACATGTGGAGATTCGAGTACATTTGTAAAAACAGTTTTGAGGAGGAGTTCAGGCAGATGCTAGAATGATAAGGATTCACTCTAAGGATCCGGACTATGGAAATAATTGGAAAATGTAATCACTATACATTAATAAAAATTGGTGTCATGCTGAAACAATAATGTGCATAGAGAGAAGCTTAAGCACCTGACACTAACACAATATTGTTTGTCAACTGTAATTGAGAATAATAAATAAAGATTTACAGGTTAAAAAGAAGTTTAAGAATAAAATAAGAATAACAAAAATAAGAATATACTGCTATAAGGCCTTGGGTAAACAGAGGCCACCAGCTGCTGTCATTATGAGCCGATGAGTCTACATAAAAATCCCATCTGGTGCTATGGAGACAATGGGAGTGACTTCTGGTCTTGGGAAAATGGCTTTGAGCACAGACTCGGGGCAGACTTGATGATGTCACAGGCTGGCACTCCAGCACCCAGGTCTTATTGTACTAACACCAGAGCTAACACAGACCCACTGCCCCCACACACGAAGTCACCTGCCACAAGCTCCTGGGCTTCTCTCTGATCTGCAGCCCTTTGTGTCTTTATAGTAGGTGCCTCATGGGAACAGGTAGGATGAGCTTGAACTTGGTGGGCCAGACCCCTATACTAAGACTGTCTCTGGTGCTTATACATTGGCGTCCCTCCTAAGCTCTCTCTTCAGGTACCATCTCTTTTCATTCATAGTGTGTATGGATGGCGGTGTCACTAAAATCCCAGGTAATTAGGTTTCAGGGTCAGAAAAGAAGGTGTCTGTGACGTGACCAAAATATGTACTATAACCTAAAGGTTCTGATTCAGACAAGAGCCAGGAATGAGGGCACAATTGATCTATCACTCGGTTGGTGCCAGGAGAATGACAGATGGGAAGTCTCTAAGATATATGGCCTCTTTTAAGGTAATTCTGAGAATTCTTCCTAACCTCCAGACATCTAGACATTTCTGCCAGCAGTTAACCCACAACACTGCACAGTCGCTTCCTCTTTTCCCCGAAGGGGTGTCACCCGGGGAGAGGTGGCTGTGTCTTCCTCAGCCCAGACCCTTCACCTGATACCAATCCAGCCTCCCTGGTAGCACCTGCTGGAGGGTGCTTCTCTGGACCTCAGACATGCAGGGGTCCTCTGGACCCTCCCTCCACGGTCCCACAGCCAACCCAGCTTTCAGCATTTCCCATCACCAACATCCTTACCAGCAACAACATTCGACTGTCCAGTCTGACTTGATCTCTACACAAACTGTCTTTGTCAGCTTAGCTCTTGGCCTCGGCTTTCCCTTCTCCAGCTCAACACCTTATTTGCACTCACTGGGTAACTGCATTGCTAGGTGACTGCCACCCTGCTCTGGAGGTCACAGCTGAATGTACATGCTGCCTCCTCCACCAGGTCCACTCAGCTGACTCCTCCTTACCCTCTGGGCCTCAAGTTTGCTTCTCTGGTTCCCCAGGAGGCATACGGTCATGCACATGGCATGACTCTGCTCTCATGCCTGAGATTTATAACAGACCTGGATACACAGCTGGGTCAGAGGGGAAAGGACGCAGGCATGGTGTGGAAGAATCTACGTGAGATGCCCTGTGCTCTCCGCCTCCCGTGAGGGCGCACACTTTCACCCAGCAATGAGTACGCAGGCCCTGTGAGCAGGATTTCTGCCTGGAGAAGCCCACCAGACACTCAGGTATTTTTGGCAGAGGGCATTATGGACTGAATTGTGTCCCCTAAAAATTCATATTGCAGTTCTAACCCCCACACCTCTGCATGGGACCATTTGGAGATAAGGTCTTTCAAGAAATAATTCATGTCAATGAGCCTAGTGGGGTGGGCTGGAATCCAGCGGAACTGGGGTCCTGATAAGAAGAGAAAATTAGGACATCGACTTGCACAGAAGGAGGACCCTGTGAAGACAGGGAGAGACGGCCGTCTCCATGCCCAGGAGAGAGGCCTCCGAAGAAACCAGCCCTGCTGACACCTTGATCTTGGACTTCTGGCCTCCAGAATAGTGAGAAAACATATTTCAGTTGCTTGTCCCCCATGATGGCAGCCTAGCCCGCTAGCTCAGTGGATCCCACAGGCACCCGCTGCCCAGCATGAACCAACTTTCAAACTCAGAGAAGCAAAGTGGGTGTTGGGTTAAACCTCCTGGCCTGGGCCGGCAGCCGGACACAGCCAGCTGCACTCTCACCAGCTGCCAAATGGCAGGACACTGCTGAAACCCAGGGACACTGCTGGAACCCAGGCTCCCAGATGCAGGCTGATAGCATGTCTTACCAGAGGGTTCTTGTAAGATAGGCTTCTAGGGCCTACTGTGTTAACCTACGCACACACACACACCCTGACACTGCCATGAGGAGATGGTGGCTTTCACTCTGGTCCCTCTAATCCCTCTGGGATCTGTGCGGTTGCTGAGGGCCCATGACTATGGGCGGTGACAGTGACGTCAGAGATGTCAGTCAGCCTGTCGCCTGCACCTGGGAGAAGACCCTTTCTGACCCCGAACCTGCCATGGGACTCAGGCTCCTCTGTGGTGTGGCCTTTTGTTTTCTGGGAGTAGGTGAGTCCGGGGAATTAATGGCAAACCCCTGCCCTATTATTTCTAGACCCTGGATACAAGATTTTCCCCTTATTGAGCTTCCTGATGACCTCATTCTCCACCTTCTTTTCCCCTCTTTCTCAGGTCTCATGGATGCCAAAGTAACCCAAACCTCAAGATACCTGATCAAGAGAAGGGGAGAGAAAGTTGTGATGGAATGTTTCCAGGATATGGGGCATGACAGAATGTTCTGGTATCGACAAGACCCAGGTCTGGGGCTGCGGCTGCTCCATTTCTCATACGGGGTTGACAGTAATGAGAAAGGGGATTTCCCTGATGGGTACAGTGTCTCCAGGAAGAAGAAGGAAGGCTTCTCCCTGACCATGGAGTCTGCCACCCCCTCCCAGACATCTGTGTACTTCTGCGCCAGCAGTGAATCCACAGCACTGCACAGCTGCCTCCTCCCTGCACAAAAAGGGCAGGTGCCGGAGGGAAGGGACCAAACTTAGGGCTGAGTTGTACTGGCTCCTGTGGCACATGTGTGTCACTTGGGGAAGAAAGGTGGCCCCTCAGGGGAACCAAGCCCACAGACACACGTCTTGGCCAGGAGAGCACAGAACATTTTTCGTGCCCTACTCACCTGCACTTCCCAGGTAGGGGCCATCCCCAAGTTAGCCCACCCAAACCTGCATGTCATCCCCAACGTAGATTTATGAGATTCAACCCCAACCAGGGGGATAAGTCCTCATACCTGTTTACATGGAAGAAGCACCTTTCTACCATTTTTTTAATCAGTTTTTCCTTCCCTTTCTTATTCTTGTCTGTCTTACTATCATTTGCCACTTTGTTCTACTTCTTTGCTCTTAATTAATGTTTCACTAGGGGGCACTCACACAACCTAAACTCCTTTTGGTCAATTTTATTGTCCACGTGCTGATTCAAGGAAAAGCTTGTGGAATTGGAATTCTGTTCATTTAATCTAAAAATGCGAAAACTCGGATAAAAGTCTGTCTTTTTTTCAGGTTCTCAAAGTGGTCAGTAATGCTTTACTGGGAAATTCTGGACAGGGAAGGAATAAATTATGATGCAGAGGTTATAAAAGTTAAATTATTCCTGTATACATGATCATCTGGAAAAGTATTTGTTTATTTTTAAGAATGAGACGCCCATCCTGTCAGTAAATACTAATTGAGCCCTTTGGGATTGCAACAGAAATGTAGACAGTATTAGAAATCTTGGTAGATTTCCCAGGTGTATGCATTGTTAAAACTTATTTAATGGAACTTCAGAGTTGTATATTTTACTGTGGGCAAATTTTATCTAAAAAAAGAAACATAAGTAAATACTGAACCTTAGTTAATTATATGCATGCTGAAGTGTTTAGAAATGCAGTGTGCCTTCAACTTTGAAATGTATCCACAAATTTAAATGGGTAGATGGATAGTTTTATGATAACACAATAAGTAGCTTTATTTAGGTTGTGGGCACATGAATGTTCATTATAACACTTTCAACTTCTCTAGATTTTGGAAACTCTCATCATAAAATGGAAAATAATAATGAGGCAAATGTTTAAATACTGAACTAAATTTTAGTACTGAACTAAATTTTAAATATATCAATAAAAAAGACATTGTGAATAAAACCAGAAGCAAGGCACAGGATGATGTGAGCAGTTTGCTCCTATCTGTATTTTAAAGAGGACCAATGAGATACACGTAAATTTGAATAAGTCAAGAATATTTCAGTAACATATACAGCAAAGTTTTGACTGGTTTCTTCTGGAGAAAGTAACTTACTTTTCACTCTCTGTTTTGTTTTGTCTTGTTTTAATATTTTAATCATGTGCAAGCATTAATTCAATAAATAAATTCATTAAAATTCTACGTCAACTTGGTATCCATGACACCCTTGAAAAAAGTCTAGAGATACCACTGCTGTTTGGAGAATAGAAAAAGGGAGAAAGATATCTTTGCTGTTGGTTTAGAAGAGAGAAGATACCACCAAGGGGGAGACAATTTAGAATTTCAGTCAAGAATAGGAGTCACTTGGTATTTTTAGCAAAATTTGAGATGAATGCAATAGAAAGAAATCTTGGGTTATCTTGGCAGAAAGTTTGATATACTTGACTAAACTTTTTAAATGTATCCTTAGATGTCAAGAAAAAATGGAGTGTTCTATACATTTTACCAGTATGCTACTTAGCAAAGTTTATCCTGAACCACTGTCTTGGGTACCTGGCATAGGTGTAGGGACACACACACACACACTCACCCTGTAGGAGAAATGATTACTGGAATAGTATTATCCCCAACATGCCCCATTTCCTCTATCATAAAGTGAATTGCTTCTTCAGTTTTATTTTTCTAAAACACAGCTAAGTCCTATGATTTATATTCATTCCTAGCATAGTACTAACCACCACCCCAAAGTAACAATTGTTTTTCACAGTGCATCTTATAATGGAACCAGAGATATATAAGGCAGCTTAGTTTTACAAGAATTTCTTTCTAAAGGTCCTTGTTTCCTTTAGGGAATTTGGCCCATCATTCTCAGTCACCCACGAGATTCTGCTTTCGGACAACTGCAGAAGTGAGACCATCCTTTAGAGTATTGATGTTGACATTTGGGTTTGGGGGTCACATCGGCATGGGTTTGAGTCCTGCCTCTGTCACTCGCTCTTGGACTGTGTGAACTTGGATAGGTTAGTTACGATCTTTAGGTCTCATGCGTAAAATTCCTCATTTGTTAAAATGGGATGAGAGTAGCCTAAGTAGCCTAACTTCTAGATAGACTGAAATAATACATGTAAAGCACAGAGTAAGTGCTCAGAAAAGTAGCTCAGCTTTTATGCAGAAGCAAAGTATTTTACTGGGAGGCAGGAAGTCAGGAGCAGAAGCCAGTTAACTGGAGTATGGGCTGAGAGAGGAATAATGGGGACAGTTTGGAACAAAGAAGATTCAACAGACAGTTGAAATCCTGAGTTATAAGTTTCCCCCATATTCTGAGGTTTCACCTTAGTTATCTGAGGTCCGTGCTGCACCCCATTCTTGCTTTATACCTGAAGGGTAGCACAAACTCGGCGCTCCATAGTGATGGACAGCAGTTGCACACTGGGACGCCTTATGAGTGAAGAGCCAGACACCTCCACTAGGGGGCAGACTAATTTCCTCCATATTTGGCAGAAACTCAACTTTCTGCTTATAGGAGGGGTACAGACAACCTGCAGGAAAGAAACTACACAGTGGTGGGGAAAGATGAACTTGAGTCTGACATCTTAGTGCCTTTGCTCAGGGAAGAGGTGAGGGTGTCATCGAAAGATGCTGACTTTCCTGCTACTTCTCCTGGGAAGAGGTATGAGCCTTACAGGGTAGGGAAGTCTGGGGCTAATAATGCTAATGCTGAGGAGAGGATTACAGGGTCTGAGTCCAGCAGAGGATGTGGGTGGGGGGTGTTGGGTTAGAGGATTGGGCAGAATAACGGTTGGCAGGACAAAATGGAGGCAGTGCCACAGGGTTCTTCGGGAGCCAAGGTGACACCGGAGCAAATAGTAAAAGACCTTCCTGCCTGGGGACAAGCTGGTCAGACCTCATGGGTTTCTCTATCTCCCTGCAACCAGGCTCCGTGTTTGGCGCTGTCGTCTCTCAAAACCCGAGCAGGTTCATCTGTCAACGCGGGACCTCCGTGCCCATCCAGTGTCAGGCTGACAGCCAACTCTCCTTCATGTTCTGGTACCGCCAGCTTCCAGGACAGAGCTTGACACTGATTGCAACGGCAAATCAGGGCTCAGATGCCACTTATGAAAGCGGATTTAAAAAGGACAAGTTTCCCATCATCCGCCCAAACCTAACGTTCTCCATTCTGACTGTGAGCAGCGCGGGCCCCGAAGACAGCAGCTCTTACTTCTGCAGTGCTGGAGACACAGTGCTGGGCGGAGATCAGAGATCCCTGCAAGAACCTCAGCTCCCTCCTCCCTACACCCTCCTTCCAGCTCCCTCCTCCTTCCAGATGAGCCCAAACACCCAGGCTGGAGGGAGGAAGCCACAGCTTTGGGGCAGAGACAGCTGTGGGTGTGTTTGGTGGGTGGGTATGAGTGTGAATGGGAGGACTAGCAGGGAGAGAGAACTTGGAGGACTAGCTGGAGGGCTCCATTCACAGACAGGAACTGTGGCTACTGAGAGCCTGAAGCTAAAACTTCTTCCAGGAGAGTGTTTAGAAATGCTCAGTGAAGACAATCAGACAGTCTGCCTTCAAGTGCCAGGTTCAGAGACACCTTTTAACAATTTTATCTCAATGCTCTATCTAGCCTGTTCTTGATCAGCACACCATATTTTGCTGTGTATAATGCACACCCCACATTTTTGTGCACATTATACACGGGATTATTATACCCATGGTATGTAATCATTATATCCATGTAGCATCCTTATTTTCCCCTAAAAATTTTGGGCAAAAAAGGGTATGCATTATACACAGCAAAATATGGTAGTTTAGAAGGCCCTTAGTCATCTTGATAGCGTACTAGTCCATTACTATGATAGCATGATGCTGATTGTTCTCGGTGAATAAAAATTATAAAGCACTCTAGGTGCCTCGGTATATGACATATGCATGCTAGACCAAGATAAAACCCGAAAAAGTTCAGGGACCTGCCACACTGGTGAGCTTTTGAGTAGTCCTGAGGTATGGGACATGTTGGAGTACTCGCTCTAAAGTGAGAGTCCAGCAGCTGCAACTTACTGCCACCTGCCATGCAGAAAGCAATGCAACACTTGGAGGGCCTTTCTGGACTTTGGAGTTAACATATACTACAGGTGGGTGTGCTGCTCTGGTCCCCTACTGTGTCATCTGGAAGGCGGGGCACTGGCTGGGCACCAAAGAGTTCTGTAGCACCATGGGGCTGGCATGAAAGCTGCCCTGCCTCCCGGACCAGAGACCAAGCAGGCTCAGTTGTTCCTGAAGTACCTGTGTCCAATAGGGATGCACTCTGAAACCCACGGCATTCTCTGTTAAAGAGACTTTCAAGGCAGATGCAAAGAATTTGGGGCTATAGCTATACTCTCTTCTACTTGCCCACAGATATTCTTCCTTTGAAAAGCCGTTCCAGCTCTTGACCGGAAGCCTCCATATGGCACTCAGAACTGGGTGTTATGTGATCCCCAACACTGGCAAGTTGGACAAGCAGAGTTTTCTGTGATACGTGGAAAACATATAGTCAAGACCAGACTCCAGCATAGCAGAAAGAAGGGAGAATTTAATTTCAAGAGCAAGTCCCAGTAACATGGTACCTGCTTCTACTTCACCCCCCACCTTGACCTTCAGTCCATACCCGAGGCCCCATGGGAAAAGCATGGGCCTGTCTTCTGGATAGCTCTGCACTGTCGTCTGGAATGCTCATCCCTGTTCAATACAATGTGCTTCTGAAAGGTAGTGG